AGCAGGGACAGGGAAGCTGATCAGAGCTGATGGGAAGATGGATGGAGCCAAATACAGGGCAATCATAGAAGAAAACCTGTTCGAGTCTGCAAAAGACTTGAGACTGGGGCGGAGGTTCACCTTTCAGTGGGACAATGACCCTAAACATACAGCCAGAGCTACAATGGAATGGTTTAGATAAAAGCATATGCATGTGTTAGAATGACCCAGTTAAAGTCCAGACCTAATTACAATTGAGAATATGTGGCAAGACTTGAAAATTGCTGTTCACAGATGCTCTCCATCCAATCTGACAGAGCTTGAGCTATTTTGCAAAAAAGAATTGGCAAAAATTTCACTCTATAGATGTGCAAAGCAGGTAGAGACATCCCAAAAAAGACTTGCAGCTGTAATTTCAGCAAGCGGTGGATCTACAAAGTATTGACTCAGGAGGGCTGAATACAAATGCACGTCACACTTTTCAGAAAACCATTTATAATTTTCCTTCCACTTCACAAGTATGTGCCACTTTGTGTTGATCTATCACATAAAATCCCAATAAAATACATTTACGTTTTTGGTTGTAACATGACAAAATATGGACAATTTCAAGGGGTATGAATACTTTTCCAAGACATTGTATATGTAGGGCAGGGTTTCTCAATCAGGGTTCTTTTAGAGATTGCTAAGGGTTCCTTGAGCAATGAACAATGTTTGCCCCAGTTCCCAGTGACATCTTTTTTATCTATCTGTAAGGGGTAATTTTTCCTCATGATCTCAATCGTAAGAAGCATTCTTCCAACTGATCATCTCACTTATGTATCATGAGTTGTAGATATAGTAAATTTTACCAGGGGTTCCCTGAGACCAGAATGTTAATTCAGGGGTTTCTCTGTGTTAAAAAGATAGAGAAAGGCTGATGTAGAAGGTACTAGCTGGCTGAAAATGTTATGAAAGAAAAGGTATGCTGTACTTGGCTGGTCACACAGTAAAGAACTGTGAAGAGAAGCAACACATAAGTATGTGGGGCGTTCAAGTCAAACCCAGACTTTTGAGTTTATATAATAAAATTTCAAAGAGTGGAAACTGCATTTATTTTTCGACATACTCCACTGCTACATTTATACACTGACTGTATCCCAGCATTTAACTAATGCCTGGAAAGCTTTAGCATAGAAAGATTTGTCAGTACGCCTGAGCCATCCTAGGACAGCCTGCTTCACTTCATCATCATTGTGTTCATCGTTCCCACAGAAAGATTTGTCTCTTGTGCAAATTCACGACAGGTTATGCGTCGATTTTCCAGGATCAGGCATTCCATGCATTGAATGTTCACAGGAATGACTGCTGTGAGCTGGGAACCACCATGCCCTGGATCATCACTGATAGATGTATGGCCATCTTTGCAATATTTACACCATTCAAATGTCTTACCGAGGCTGAGCGTCTCATCACTGTACTGTGCTTGAAGTCTTTTGTAGATATCTGCGGATTTTATGCCTTAACTCACAAGAAACTTAATTACCACACGCTGTTCCATGCACTCACTAACACTGTTGTCTGTCATCTTCATTATTGGTCTCTGGACTGGCCCTCAACATGTGCGCTGCCTATCAGTATCAGTTTGGCTTGAACGCCCCTCATATATGCTATTAAATAAGTTCTAAGGATAAGTGAAAAACCCTGTTTCACTATTTAAAGCTGAATTTGACTCTCCAATGAAAACATATTGCCAGAAATGATGGTGTCTAATATGCCTACTTTAGGTACTAAACAAAATCCTCATTCCCAGTTCTTTTTTTTTTCTGCTGACTACTAAAGCCAAACTCTGCCTATGTCAACGTGATCTTTACCATCCACTGTAGGTTCTTTAACATACCACTCAAGCAATGCAATTCAGTTGTAGTTTGAATGCGTTCACATGGTTAGTCAATGACACAGAAACAACTGCATTGTGTTACCACCTCCACTACTGGTGCAAATTTTAATGTATGCTTGTAGTTCAGCTTTAAAGTGCCCATGGGCACAAGGTGGTCACTGACCAGCCAATGCTGGTTGGATTGGGTGACCTTTCTTATGCCTGTGAGTTTCATACAATAACCCCAACTGATCGCTGGCCAATAATCAGCTAAATGTCACTATATATTATGGTGCTGGTGGGGTCTAAACACTCTTATTAAATAAACCTGCACGCTTGGCGGATACAAGGTGCCAACATTCCTCTATATTTGAAAAAAAAAATATTCTAAGCATTCAGATTGGTCTTGCATATCACTTCCCTTCTAATATTTATAGCCACTTGAATATAACATGCTTTGAAGTAGATCTTATGTTTTTCTTGAAAGGAATATTTACTCACTGTTGTGAGATCTTACCCTTAAATTGTTCACAGTAGGCAGTCATTTTGGTAACAGTTGTGTTAGCTGTGTTTTGTTTTGAATTTGAAGACATAAATTAATTTAATATAATGGTTAACAGATAATTCTGTTTCAATAGTTTTTATTTTTTTTTTCAAAAAGAAGTAATTACAAAATGCAAAGCCAAGTAGACCATGGCTATACAGTGTCAATAAAATACAAAGAGTTAGCCAAAATAACAGCTGGCATGGCATATAAGACAGCTACAGAACTTCCAAGAGTTAGGTAAGTGGAATTGTCCGGCCAGTGGAAGAACAAACCTATTAAATGGCATGGGAACCAATAAACAAATGGTAACGGAATGCAATCAGCTAGAACAGTACAGATGTTCGCTAAAGAAGAACAGATAATTATTAGCAGACCGCAAGATAATATGTGAAATTATCATGTCTGCAATTTAATTATTGTTACAAACAAGAAATACCTATGGGCCTTAACAGTGCAAAGATGTTTAATTTTTACAACAAACAATTAGACCTTAGTCTTCAGTTGTCTCTAGTTCATTCTATCATGATGATTGACAGCACAGCTCATACAAAAGTACAGCAGTGAACATTGCCATTCTGTATTAGAGAATGAGCTTTCTGAACCTTGTTCAGACCTTCTCAGCTTTGACACAATGAGGAGCAAGAGTTCTAATACCCATTAAACAACATTGCAGTGCACAGTCACTGTACTTGTTACAGGACAATAATTCCTAATTACGTAAGGCTAGCTGATGGGAAACTGGTATGCAAACACAGAATGTAAATAATATATTATCCATTTGTAAACCTTTATGAATATAGTTTATTCACATCTGCAAATAAGACAAGAAACTAATACAAAGATAAGATCATTTTCTGTTGCTTTTAATGTTTACAATCCTAACATTCATGACGATTAAAGAACCTCCCTCCTCCTAACTAATTCATTTGATCTGGCTTAATATTTAAAGTTTACTGTGCAAACATTGACATGGAGGTGCTGCTTTCTCATGTTACTTTCCCTGGTTATAGTTGTAATATAATGGGATTGTCATAGTATATAATAAAAATAAAAGCATTTTATGTATTTTATAAATAAACTGCAGAAACCTGATAGTATCAATATCAATTTTGGATAGTATTTGCTTATTTTGCTAGTACTAACATACATTATCAAATATTTTTTATGTTGGAAACGGTACAATTCTTCCCAAAGTAATAGTACTACAAGCAAAGATAAGAGTAAAGCTGGCAATACATTGGTAAATTTTCAAGCGAACATTCATATGAACATTCCTATGAAAATTCTCAGCAGATTCGATGACTTGACAAATGTTGTTTGAAAGCACTTCAACTATATTAGAATTAATAAAACTGGAGCACACAGCATATGGCGCTGCTGTGCATAGTTACCAATCAGCTTCTAACTTCAGCATGTTCAACTAAGCTTTGACAATAAAACCTGGAAGCTGATTGGCTACTAACCACAGCTGCACCAGATTCTGTGTGCACTAGTTTTGTGTGCTTTTAACATTATATTTTGGAGTGGATGGACTTTCCCAAAAGAAAGGCACATACACTTTTAGAAATGTATTTGTTTGAGAAAATTTTTTCATCCTGCTCCTTAAAGTTTTCCCATCACTGCGGTCTAAAATTAGCATCGATTTGACCCCGCTAACAATTAGAAAACACAATGTGAAAAGCTCTAAAAATATACACTGCTCAAAAAGTTAAAGGGACACTTTGAAAATACATCAGATTTCAATGGGGAAATTATCATGCTGGATATCTATACTGATATGGACTGGGTAATGTGTTATACACTATATTGCCAAAAGTATTGGGACTCCTGTCTTTACACGCACATGAACTTTAATGGCATCCTAATCTTAGTCCGTAGGGTTCAATATTGGGTTGGCCCACCCTTTGCAGCTATAACAGCTTCAACTCTTCTGGGAAGGCTGTCTACAAAGTTTAGGAGTGTGTCTATGGGAATGTTTGACCATTCTTCCAGCAGGGCATTTGTGAGGTCAGGCACTGATGTCGGACAAGAAGGCCTGGCTTGCAGTCTCCACTGTAATTCATCCCAAAGGTGTTTTGTCGGGTTGAGGTCAGGACTCGCTCATCCATGTCTTTATGGACCTTGCACTGGTGCGCAGTTATGTTGGAACAGGAAGGGGCCATTCTCAAACTGTTCCTATAAAGTTTGGAGCATGAAATTGTCCAAAATGTCTTGGTATGCTGACGCTTTAAGAGTTCCCTTCACTGCAACTAAGGGGCCAAGCCCAACCCCTGAAAAACACCACACCATATATTCTCTCCTCCACCAAACTTTTCACTTGGCACAGTGCAGACAGTCAAGTACCATTATCCTGGCAACCGCTAAACCCAGACAGGCCCATTGGATTGCCAGACAGAGAAGCATGATTCTTCACTCCATAGAACACGTTTCCACTGCTCTAGAGTCCAGTGGCGGTGTGTTTTTACACCACTGCATCTGATGCTTTGCATTGCACTTGGTGATGTAAGGCTTAGATGAAGCTGCTAGGCAATGGAAACCCATTCCATGAAGCTCTCTATGCACTGTTGTGCTAATCCAAAGGCCACACGAAGTTTGGAGGTCTTTAGCTATTGACTCTGCAGATGGTTGGCGACTTCTATGCACTGTGCGCTCAGCATGCGCTGACTCCGCTCTGTAATTTTACTTGACCTACCACTTCATGGCTGAGTTGCTGTTGTTTCCACTTTGTTATAACACCACCAACAGTTGACCGTGGAATATTTAGTAGCAAAGAAATTTTCACGGATGGACTTATTGCACAGGTGGCAACCTATCATGGTAGGCTTGATATCACTGAGCTCCTGAAAGCAACCTATTCTTTCACAAATGTTTGCAGAAGCAGTCTGCATGCCTATGTGCTTGATTTTTACACCTGTGGCCATGGAGGTGATTGTAACACCTGAATCCAATGATTTGGAGAGGTGTCCCAATACTTTAGGCAATATAGTGTGCCTTCTTGATTTCTTAAACTCCAACCATTTCCCCCAGATGGCCTTATGTTTCTCTAAAGAATCCTCCCCTGTATACATCAACTCCATACACCATAGACCAGGCTTTTAGCACCGTTTAATAGATGCGGAACCAAGGACATCTTATATTGTGCTATCATTTTCTCTGTACTTTGAAACAAACATTTCCAGGGCTCAACCTGTATATATACTGTTATTTCATGGGTTGTCTTAGCAACCTCCTCCAAAAAAGCCTGTATCTTTGTGCATCCACGCCACAGATGGTGCATCACATCCCTTTCAACATAGTGGATACATATCCGCCCTGAACCTCCGCACCTTCAGCAGGGTTATATACCACCTAGAAAAAAGTTTAAACCACATTTCTGTCATCTTAGTGTCAATTGATAAAAAACACGCTAAGTTTAAAACCTTCCTCCTCTGGTTCTCAGCCAATTCCCCTCCCAGTTCCTGCTCCACATTCCCGAAATAAGGTGGGCACTCTTTCTTCTTCTTTCACCAGTACCTTGTATACTTTTGAAATACTATGCTTAATATGAGAAGGAGAATTAAATAATCTCTCTATTAACCTCAGATTGTCTTTCCCCCGTAGGGGTTTTGGTAGCGCTTGTGCAAAATGTTGTAGTTGTGCATATCTCTATATATCTGATGGCATACTACCGCATTTTTGCTTTAATTCAGAAAACGTGCAAAACAGAATCTCTTTCATCACATCCTGTAACTGTATCACCTCATTTTTTGCTTATCTAACAAAATATAAATAATCCTCCTTTCCCAGTTTATAATAATTTGTGTCTAACAAAGATATTAAAGGTGAATTATATTCCCAATGATACTGCCTACAAAGGCCATCCCACATTACATTACATTACTAGTCATTGAATTTGTACTATTTGCTAAGTCGTGGTACACCCGTGGGATCCAAACCATCTTACTTAAATCTACTTTACTTTGTGCAAACTCTATCTCTACCCAACTTTTATCTTCCTTATTATGTGTCCAATCAGCTATTCATGTAATAGTGACCACCTGGTAATACTTTTTAAAATCAGGTTGCACCAGCCCCCCTCTTTCTTCTCTTTTGCCAGCACAGCATAGGAAATTCTTAGTCGCCTATGTGCCTATATATATTTTAATACAATAGATCTCAACTTCCTAAAATATTCCTGAGGGAGAATGATAGGCAGCATTTGGAATTTATATATTAACAGGCAAAATATACATTTTTTTATGCATTTATTCTACCTAACCAGGAAAGGGGTCTATATCTCAGGGAGTTTAAATTCTCTTTAATCATATTAGGCAAAGGAATATAGTTATCTCCATACAGAGCCGCAACAGATGTTGTTAATTTAATCCCTAAGTATCCTAGTTCCTCTTTACACCACGCAAAGGAGAACTGAGACTGAATTGCCTGCTGCTCTTTCCATGTTATATTCAGAATCTCTGACTTTGATGTATTAATTTTAAAATGAGATAATTTCCCATATTGCCTTAACTCCTCTAACACGACAGGGAGCTTACTCCTTGGGCTGGTAATATAAAAGAGTATATAGTCTGTGTACGCAGCGTTTTTATACTCCTTCTCCCCAACTCTCACACCCTTAATATCCATACTCATCTGAATCGTGGACAGCAAAGGTTCCAAAGCTATTACTGATAGCATTGGCAAGAGGGAACATCCCTGTCTGGTACAATTGAATAACTCAAAAGAAGGGGACAGGCTTCTATTTACTCTATTTTTCGCCATTGGATAATGGCAAAATGCTGAAATCCATTGCATCATCCCGATGCCTAACCCTAGGTGTCTTAGTGTTTCAAACATGAAACCCAGTCCACCTTATCAAATGCTTTTTCAGCATCTATTCAAAGGAGTAAAGCTGGAACTCTTCTTTACTTAACTTCATGGATCAGAAATAATATCTTAAAACAAATATCCTTCCCTTCTTGACTTATTACAAATCCTACCTGGTCTTTATGGATCCAGCTTGGCATTGTAGGCTTTAATCTTTCAGCTATTATTTTAGCAAAAATCTTTACGTCTGTATTTTGTAATGATATCGGCCTGTAACTTAACAGGGCTGTTGGATCTTTCCGCTCTGTTAATATGAGGGTTATATGAGTCTGCAGTGACTCCTGCATTTTTACCTCCTCTCCTAGTGCATTTGGATATTCACATAACTTAGGAAGCAAGAACTTTTGAAACCTTTTATAATATATGCACATACCGTACATGTATTATAGAAGGAGTGGTGTAAATGATTAAATGAGAATATGACTCGTTGAGGTATCATCCCGATTATAAATGTACAAATTGGGGTGTGGAAGTAGGACTTTAATTATATCTCAGGGGTTCACAAGTGAACCTTTATGTTACACACACAGACACATACAAATTATTAAATTGACATATAGAAATAACCATCTTTCTTGGCTATAAAATGTGCCATCCCATTTCCATCAGTATACCACTTATATATTATTATTATACAGTATTTATAAAGCGCCAATAGTTCGCTCAGCGCTGTACATTACAAAGGGGGACAGAACATGTGACAGAACAATAACAATACAATGCAAAACATGAGGGGATTGAGGGCCCTGCTCTTTCGAGCTTACAATCTCGGAGGGAGGGGATAGTGGTACAGGAGGAGATAGCTGTGGGGAATGGAGTGGTAGGAAGAGTGGAGGAGGTTGGCAAGTTAGCAGGGGGTAGGGTAGGCTTCCCTGAAGAGGTGGGTTTTCAGGGTGCCCCTAAAGGAGAGGAGAGTAGGTGATAATCTGATAGGCTTTATGTGATTCCCAGAGAATCGACAAAGAAACTTCTGGCATATCATTGATGGAAAAAAACACTTGCAGCTCCTGTCCTACCCTTTAAATTACCTTAGGATCTTGAATGAGAGATTCATTCAATTTCCAGGTAAATTCCCTAGGTAAATCTGATGTCACTTCTAACTGGACCATTACCGACACGTGATCTGACAGGGTAATTGGTTTAATAACCACTTCCTTCAAAGAAGATAATAATTGATGTTCTAAGAAAATATAGTCAATCCTGGAATAAGAGCCATGCGCTGCAGAATATTAGGTTTAGTCTATAGTTTAATTCGCCAAACATCTACTGATTGATGTTCTGCTAACAGTCTGATTGTCTCCTTCTGCGTTTGCTTTGGCAAAGGTGGGGAAGCCCCTGAAGAGTCTACCTGGGGATCTAAACACATGTTAAGATCTCCAGCTACAATCAACTTCTCCTTTTTAAATGTCATAAACTTTTTTGGAGTTTTCTTCAGGAACTTATTTGGCTCTCTGTTTGGGGACTAAATATTAGCAAACATGCATTCCATATTGAATAACCTTCCTTTAATAAATAAAAATTGTATCTCTAGGTCTGCCAGCTGCTCCCTTGATGTAAACACAGTACCTCTATCAAAGCCAATAGTGATTCCTCTTGAATTACTCGAAATTGAGTCGCCATAGAGCCATGTTGGGAAAAATCGAGAGGATATCCTACATACTGTATGTTTGTTTCTAATGAAAATAGCCCTTTCTTGTTGTTTCTCACACATGTGAGCTGTGTAACAATGAAGCTTAGTATTAAGCCACTGTAAGCCAGCCAAGTTCAGGGTTCTTGAAAGGGCTTGAAAGCTTGTACCTATTGGAACAGAATTTCATGTGACAGCAGGTTACATCTTACCAAATCTGTCTCCTAAATAAGCCTGCAAAGTTGAAAGAGTTGGTAATTAATATTTCAGTGCATAGATATCATTGACCTATGGGAGTTTATTATTGAAATTGAACTCTGAAGGTTTTCATTGATATGCAGATTTCTCATTGGAGATATGCTTGTCCTTGTCACAATTGCTTTCTACCCAACTAAGAGTTCTTTAGGGAAAAGAGAGTGAATGTGAATCACTCACAGACATACGTGCTTGTCATTGCTTACTAGCTAACTTAAACACTGTGCTCTGTTCTTCTATGATAACTTTTAGATGTGCTATTAACTAATAGACAGCAATCTATACATGACAGGACTCAGTAGCTTTTCTTCCTCTTTTGTGTGCTGTTCATTCTGGTGTTTGGTTCACTAAAAACCTACAGCAGGATATTCTGTAAGTAGTTCTGTAGTCAGGGGCGGACTGATAACTCATGGGGCCCCCGGGCAATAGGGGATCATGAGGCCCCTGTGTCCTCGCCCACACCCAAAATAGCCTATGAAAAAAACAATGAAAGGTACCAGGGGCATCTCATGGGGCCCCCTACTGACCCCGGGCCCTCGGGCAGTGCCCGAGTGCTCGAATGATCAGTCCGCCCCTGTCTGTTTTATTAGCTGTGTGTGGAGCTTCTTCAATTGTAAATGCTTTGCTATATAGCAAAAGTTTGTGCACAACTATACTAAAATATTTTTGTCATAATTTTCATCAGTGGCAAGTTTACAGTGAGGAAAACTAAATGAAAATCAATTTCAATCTTAGACAACAATAGAAAATGGAATGAAAATGTAAGGGATGGACATTTGCCCATGTGAACTGCTTTTACTGTGAACAGTAAACTGATTCTTATTATAGAAGTAAATATTGACCTTGAGTATTGGTTTAGTTATGCTGTGCCTGTGCTTGTAGCTGCAGAATTTTTTTTAGTTGTGTACAGTTACTTGAACTGTTAAAAGTTCATGCAATATGTACAATGGCATTATATTTTTGCACTTCTGTCAAAAAAGCAATATTTTTGTATCTAAATTTGGTTTTATTTATAAAGACGTTATACACTATTTTGCCAAAAGTATTGGATTGGGACACCCCTCCAAATCATTGGATTCAGGTGTTCCAATCACCCCCATGGGCACAGGTGTATAAAATCAAGCACCTAGGCATGCAGACTGCTTCTACAAACATTTGTGAAAGAATGGGTCGCTTTCAGGAGCTCAGTGAATTCAAGCATCATACTGTGATAGGTTGCCATCTGTGCTATAAGTCCATCCGTGAAATTTCCTTGGTACTAAATATTCCACAGTTAACTGTTAGTGGTATTATAACAAAGTGGAAGTCACTAAGAACAACAGCAACTCAGCCGTGAAGTGGTAGACCACGTAAAATGACAGCGGGGTGTCAGCGCATGCTGAGTGCACAGTGCACAGAAGTCTCCAACTGTCTGCAGAGTCAATAGCTAAAGACCTCCAAACTTCGTATGGCCTTCAGACTAGCACAACAACAGTGCATAGAGAGCTTCATGGAATGGGTTTTCCTGGCCAAACAGCTGCATCCAAGCCTTACATCACAAAGTGCAATGCAAAGTACGCCACCACTGGACTCTAGAGCAGTGGAGACGTGTTCTCTGGAGTGACAGATCACGCTTCTCTGTCTGGCAATCCGATGGACATGTCTGGGTTTGGCGATTGCCAGGAGAACGATACTTGCCTAACTGCATCGTTCCAAGTGTAAAGTTTGGTGGAGGGGGGGTTATGGTGTGGAGTTGTTTTTTTTTAGAGGTTGGGCTTGGCCCTTTAGTTCCAGTGAAGGGAACTCTTAGGGCCTCAGCATACCAAGATATTTTGGACAATTTCATGCTCCCAACTTTGTGTGAACAGTTTGGGATGAATTAGAGCGGAGACTGCCAGGCCTTCTCATCCAACATCAGTGCCTGACCTGGAAGAATGGTCAAACATTCCCATAGACACACTCCTAAACCTTGTGGACAGCCTTCCCAGAAGAGTTTAAGCTGTTATAGCTGTAAAGGGTGGGCCAACCCAATATTGAACCCTATGGACTAAGACTGGGATGCCATTAAAGTTCATGTGCGTGTAAAGGCAGGCGTCCCAATACTTTTGGCAATATAGTGTATATCACAATAGCTAAATCTGTTTCTGTAGCGCACGTTTAAACCTTAATACCATAAATAATGTTATTAGATTTTTACTCCGGGTATATATAATGAGTTTGGAAATTCTAGAGAAATACTTAAATAATGCATTATAATTTAACTAAACCCATTAGATTTTAGTCAACTAAAATATGACTAAAACTAAAACAATTTTAGATAACTAAAATACGACTAAAACTAAAGTGACATTTTAGTCAAGACTGTGGGGTTGATATACTAAAGGTAAATAGTCTGTGCACTACAAGTGCAGTTGCTCTAGATCTGAGGGGAAGTTCTGAAATGAAGGAAACTGTGCTGATTTTTATGATCCAATCATCTGCAAGCAAAAATGTTGTTCTTTACTTTCCTTGCATGTGATTGGGTATTCTGTGCAAAGTGAAGCTTTACCTCATTTACTAAGCTCTGAAGCAAGTGCACTTGCAGTGCACAGTATATATGCCTTTAGTAAATCAACCGTTATGACTAAAACTAAATCGAAATTTGAAATCAAAATTAACACTGATGTGAACATCCCTCCAAATGACTGAGGTTGTGTTTTTTCCATTGAAAAGAAATTCCATTAATGCTATAGCTTGGAAATACATTTTTGGGTTCCTTCAGACTTGCAGCTAATAGGTGGTAAAAAGAGATGGTTCAGCTGCAAGTTTACTGCCCCCCAAAAGCCTAAACAAAGACATGCAGCCATTTAGGGTTGTAAACATGTCCAGCAAACAGTAGGCAGTACCACTGCGGAACACAAATCATTAAGTTAATGGGGCTGCATTTAAGGTGAAAACAGGCAGTGAGAAAGCAACAAATCACCTCCCCAGACACCTGTCAACCACAAGCTGAAATGCAATCCATCACAGATCAGTTTTCAGAGAGGTGGAAATTGTGTGCTTCCAACCTTATGGCAACAGTCTGGGGAAAGTCCTTTTCTGCTCCAGCATGACTGTGACCCTGGGCACAAAGCTAGATCTATAAAGACATGGCTTGACCAGTTTGGTGTTGAGTGAGCTGCAGAGAACCCTGACTTTAACCCTAACAAACAACCTTTGCAATAAATCAGAACACCAATTTTGAGCTAGTTTTCTCAACCAACATCAATAGCTGACCTCACAGATACTCTTTTAAATATGGAGGTTGTCATAAATGCAAAGGGTGAGCGCAACTCCATATATTATTATCCATGGTTTTGGAAGGAGATGTTCAACAAGGCCGTATAGGTGTGATGGTCAAGTTTCCACACACTTTTGTCCACTTACTCAATTGTACTGGCTTGTGTACATGCCGTTGCTGTCAAACGCTGGCTTTTTCATTGAACAGCTACAGAGCCTAAACTCAGATCACAGCAACAGACATGCTTTTCCACTTTTTCGTCAACACAAAATCATCTCAATAGGACATGCTGCATCCAGAAAAACACAACACAAAGAAAGTCATCATCGCTGCATCACTGAGGTAATTGTAAATTTGCTGACCTGCGCAAAGTCTGGCAGAAGGATGGTTTCAGAAAATGCTTTTGTCCCTGCTGGCAGATAGTAAAAGCTTAGATAAATGGAAAGAATTTAACCAATTCTAAAGGTATAATCTTTTTCTGTAGAGGGTTTGATTTACAAAAGTGTGAAATGAGGAGAAGTCAAGTCTTCCCATAAGCATTCAGTCCGGTGACAGTGAATTTAGAAAAAAGGACTTCTTCTGCACATAAGTGAATCACAGGCTTATATGTGGGACAAGTGTCTTGTGACTTCATTTTAACCATTTAAGCTCCTGAAGATTTTACACCCTTCATGACCAGGCCATTTTTTGCTATTTGGCACTGTGCTACTTTAACTGGCAATTGCTTGGTCATGCAACCCTGTACCGAAATTAAATTTATATAATTTTTTTTCATACAAATAGAGCATTTTGGTGGTATTTGATCACCGCTGGGTTTTTTTTTTTTTTTTTGGGGGGGGGATACTGTTTATTGTTTTCTTTGGTTGTACAATACAAAAACATACCCCCCAAAAAACCCTGATCCAAAACCAGACCTATCTATACAAAGTAATACTAATTAAGAAAAAGCACCAAAAGAAAAAATCTCCGACTCAGCTGCAAACCTTATCCCAAAACAGGTATAAGTACTTAATAATAAAAGGAGTGCGCTAATCATAAATAAAGTGCCAAATAATTCCAAACAAAAGAAATATAAAATATACTAAATAATAATCCAAAGATAAATAATGTCCACAAATCTTGTATAAAGTCCAACCACCATAAAGTGATAAACAATGTTGCAATCTTGTATAAACAATAAACACCGTGAAGAAAATCCACCACCGAATGAATTAAATAAAATCACCAGAGCGATATGCGGATCAAATTATAAATCAGCATAATCGCTAGTGCTCTGGGAGCGATGATCTGTTTGAGGTATCCAAAAGTATGGGAGCAATACTCTGCAATCAGCCAACCCACATGGATGAAGAAACTTTGATATCAAATGGACCTTCTCTCTCTCTCCATAAATAAGGCAATGCTCGGGGAATTGAAAAGAAATATAATAGTGCAGTACGTTCTTTAAAACATAAGCTTTATTAGATGCCAAATATAAGCTCACAAAAGAAGTGTCTAAGCCGACACCAGCAATAACATCCTCTGTCAATACAAAGGACGAGCCTTGCTCATCGCGGTAGCCCAGCCAACAGTCTCGAAGAACGTCCTAAAGTCACATCCATTAAGCCCCACCCATATTCTATACAAAGATAACCTAACTATGGCCCGCTATCCCTCCTTTCGTCCCCTCTCCCCATCCTCTGTGCAACCATCCTTCATCATCATACAGTGACATAAGCAGTCCGCTGTGGAGCAAAAAAAGAAACACAATCAAAGGATTCTAGGCCACATGGTACCCTTTCATTGGGAAATCCTATGACTGGAGTGTAACCCCAGTAGGATCCTTCCTCAGAACAGCAAGTAGACAATCAAGAGTACATTACTCGGTGGTATGTAGATCAACTCAGTTAGTCATGAATCAATGGGAAGGTTTCATCCTGCAGTAGACATGTCTGCCAATCAGCATTGCCAAACCATATCAAATTTTCTTGGGCATCCCCTATGTAAGTATGTGGCCTTGTATAAGGCAAGTATTTATTAATTATAACTTTCCAAAACGACAGAGATGGGGCTTCAGACTTTTTCCAATAGAGCAATATAGATTTGTGGGCATAGAATAAAGTAACAGAGAAGAATGTTCTCTGAGCTCTAAGTGGCACTATTTCCTCGACCAGCCCCAGGAGGCACATTGACATTGTCAATGGGACCTGTAGAAGCGTAAGCTCCTGTATTGTGCAGGTGACCGCCAGCCAGAAATTCTGTACTATCGGACAGTGTAAAAAAATGTGATCAAAGTCTGTGGGCGATGCTGTACACCTCCAACACTCTGCTTAGGAGGTCCTATAAATGTTAGCTAATCTAGCCGAAATATAATAAATTCTGTGCAGGAGCTTAAATTGGATGAGACAATCCCTGGCTGAAACTAGTGCTTTGAATGGCACCTCCAACATATCATCCCAATTGTGCCCTTGATAGTTAGGAATAGGGGCTGTCCTAGTCTCTTTACATTTACTGATATGTTTTTTTAGACAAGTCACAAACAATTCTTTATATACCTCAGACACCAGCTTAGTTGTGAATTCTTCTCCCAAAAAGTTGCTCCAAACTGGAAGATTGAATGACAAAGGTAACCCACCCAAACTGGTTGTCAAAAGCATGCCGCAGTTGAAGGCATCGAAACAAATACCAGGTTGGTAGATTGAATTTAGATTTTAAATGATCAAAAGTACACAATTTCCCCACTTCCACTATGTCCTCTAACCATTTAACCCAAACTGTAGCTCAAATTATTGGATCTGGTATGTTAGTAAAGTGGGGAAACCAGGAGTTGAACCACAATGGGGAAGAGGTGGAACTACAGAACTCCTCAGGTTTCATGATCGCTTGCACTCTATCCCAATCCCGGAGAGTTGCCCTCATAGAACCTGTCAGTGGCAGAGTTACTTGGGAGCAGTACCTGAGGGCCCGGGGTCAGTAGGGGGCCCCATGAGATGCCCCTGGTACCTTTTTCATAGGCTTTTTTGAGTTTGGGCAAGGACACAGGGGCCCCATGATCTCCTATTGCCCGGGGGCCCCATGAGTTGTCAGTCCGCCCCTGTTTGGGAGCCTCTGTATACTAGATTGGAGAGACTCTCATATGACCCCAGGATAGCAGCTTCTAAAATCATGGTGGCATCCTCAGCATCTTAAGCAAGCAGGGTCTGGCAAAGACCATCTGAGCCGCTAAAAAAAAAATGATAGCAATCAGAGAATGCCAACCCGCTTTGAACGGATGGTTCCTGTAACGTACGTATACCTATCCTGGGGTGCAAAGGGGGCCACAAAAAGGAAGGCCACAAAAAAGTGCCCAGAGTACCCAAACTGGTGCGTTTCTAAGAAAATCCAAAAAGAGTGGGAGTATCTTAATTTTAAGGAGATTGACTCTGCCTATCAAGGATAAGGGTAAATGTCGCCATGCCTCCAGCCTACGTTTTACCATAGGGAGCAGAGGTCACAAATTTAGTGACGGGTAATCACCAATCCTAGGAGAGATTTGGACCTCAAGATAACTAAATTTAAATACCCAAAGGAGTGGGATGTCTGGGGTCAACATGTGCCTGAGCCCCAGCATCAATGGGCATAATGCTAGACTTCGCCCAATTGACCCTAAGGCCTGAAAACTTGGCACAAGGTACCAAAATGTGACAAACTGTACACAAAGACAGGCCTGGGCCCTGTAGAAAAAGTAGTAAATCATCAGCGTACAAAGCCGTACATTCACAGATACCTCCTACCTCAAGGGCTTTCACCACCGGCGATGCATGCAAGGCTATAGCTATTGATTCAATCATATATTCAAAAAGAAAGGGAGACAGGGGACACCCCTGCCTTGTACCTCTGCCCACTGGGAAAAAAGAGGAGACCACTGTGCCTATATGAAGAGCTGCAACCGGACAACTGTACAATAAAGCAAACCATGTTAAAAACCATAGCCTGAACCCCATGTGGCATAACACAGTGGCCATATACATCCAAGGCCTTCTCCATATCTAGGGAAAATATTACCCTCAGCCCATGAGTAGTATGCTTCACCTGTGAACAGCATTCTCGAGTTGGTGTCAGTGGATTTTGCAGGGATAAACCCTGTTTGGTCAGCATCTACCAAGGTGGTAAGCACTTTGGATAACCTAGTGGACAACATTTTAGTAAGGATCTTCAAATCCTGATTCAGGAGGGAGATAGACCTATAAGAGGAGCACTCCAAGGGATCCTTGCCCGGTTTTGTCAACAATATTACATGGGCCTCTAGTAACAAGGAGGGTAGTATTCGATTGTCTAAACAGTAATGATATAGGGATCGAAGTCTAGGAATAATGGTTTCCATTTGTAGTCTGTACCATTCAATAGAGAACCCATCCAGCCCAGGTGATTTGTGAGAAGGGAAACTCCTAATGGCTAGTTCTATTTCTTCCCCCATAATGTCTACTTCCAGCCTGTCTCTATCCGCTAACAATAAAGAGGGTATAAGGAGTGTATTAAACACCTGCTCTAACTCTCCCTCATTGTAAGAAGGAAATTGGGCATATAAGGCTTCATAATAACTTACAAAGGTGCACAGAATATCAGAAGGAGAGGTAACCTAGAGTCCCTTCCGAGATCCTAATGCCGGATATATTAGTATGTGCCTTCTGTTCTGCAAGTGATAGAGCCAACAATTTCCCATTCTTGTCACCTTGGTCAAAGATTTCAGCCCTCTTAACCCAGGAAGTCTGTGTCAGCTCAGTGAAATGTACAGCCAATTTACGGTGATTTTCTAATAGTTCCACATAAGTATTATCTGAGGGGGAAGAGGCATGAGCAGCCTCACAGGCTCGCTCTTCCTCCTGCAGGCTCTGCAACATAGCATGCAAATCGTTATGAGTACTCTTGATGAGTACTCATACTGGCCCCTCAAGCACCTTAAAAGCATCCCAAACAACGTGCAAACATGTGGACATTAAATTGTACTCCCAATACCTATCAAAAGCAGGAGCCGCCTGAGCAGACACAGACTCAATCACCATGCACCTTCCCTGCCTCTGGATGGGAAGCCAAGGGTAATGGAAAAGAGGGATGTGATCAGACAGACCCCTGATAAATAACTTGCTTGGTGAATAATTTGTAATAGGGAAGCATTGGCAAATGCTAAGTCGATCCGTGAAGAGGACACGTACATCTTAGAAAGAGGAGAATAACTGCGTACAACTGGGTTTTTCCAACACCACACCTCAGTGAAGGAGGCAGTTGTTGCCCAAGTTTGCAGGTCTAATGAGGGAGCTCTAGTAGGATTGGGAGAATCCAGTGCTGTGTCCAAGACAACATGAAGTCCCTTGCAAAAAGAAGAGGGAGGTGCATAAAGGGAGCCAATTTACACATTAAATCATACAGTGTATCAATTGTACCAGAAATGGAGGAGGAATATATATGTTGACCAGGATTATTTTAATGGTAAACAGGTCAGCAGCTAAGATTAAGTAGCATCCCCCGAGATCAGAGATACTGTAATTTGCTGAATGGTACAGGGTACAGTGTTACTTATCAAAATAGATACCCCTTAGCATAAGTCAAATAGGTAACATGAAACACCCTCTGGATCCATGGACGGCACAAGGCCAAAATCCGATTGCTATCCAGATGGGTTTCCTGAAGGAAGACAATATGGGGTTCTAAAGGTTTCAAGTATTGGAACATCAAAGCCCTGCAAAATTTATCATTGAGGCATCGTATACTCCAAGACAATAACTTAATCATGGACACTGTTATAACCTAGTCCAAGGAATACATCTATACAAGATAATTTCACTTGCCAAAGGATACCAACAGTACCATAGAGCTCCACAGCCAAAATTATACCTCCCAGGATTAGCCAGTGGTTTCACATTACTAGTAGTAGAAACACCCAAAAATAGAAACTCCCTGCTGTTGTGTAAAACCAAACATAGAACTAGCACACACAGCTTTGTCTCTAAACTATGGTTAGCATGGAAACGTGACCCCAACAAGTTCTTTAGTCCAACAACCATTGTGGGACAGGTAGGCTTCTGTCATAGGATGTTGTGCACCAGGCCTGTAGATGGAAGCATATTTGTAAAGTCTCCCAAAAAAAGTAGGAAAAAACACTTTTGTATTTTCATAGGCAAATCAGCCCATTTTCTAGCTTCAGCAAGGATCAAATCTGTGTCCCTAAAATTTAGAAAGTGGACCAAGAAGGCCCTTAACGGTGCTTCTGAGGAACGATTGCACATGCGGACCCTATGAGCACTCTCCACAACATATGTTGGAGGCATTCTAGATGACCGCGGAGCAACTGCTCCGGATGAGGAAGGCAAGACGACGCTGGACAAACACGTGACCCACCCTTTCGTGGAACTCCGAGGCTTCGGATCATGCTGTGGTTTTGCCTTGGCCTTAGCTGACATGATAGCCACTGCGGTGGGTTCCAGAATGGCTGGGGAGACAGTCAGTGCCCACGCGAACAACTCTGCGCCCAGTAGAAAGATAAATAAGGCAGGTTAAATACGGAGCTCTCTTCCCACACTTCCTTCCTGGCTCAAATCCTAGCTACGCCCCCCACCACAGAGTTTTTTTCAACATTTTTTATTATATAAATGAGAAAACAAAAACATTTTGATAAAAAGAAATGTTTTTTACTTTCTGCTATAAAACATATCCAATAAAACATTTAAAAAAATCTAATTTCTTCATAAATTTAAGCCAAAATGTATTCTGTATGTCTTTGGTAAAAAAAACCCCAATAAGTCTATATTAATTGGTTTGCATAAAAGTTATAGTGTCTACAAACTATATAATGGATATATAACAGATTTTTTTTTTAATACTAGTAATGTCGGTGATCAGCGACTTATACTGGGACTGTGATAGTGCGGCGGGCAATCTGACAATTTGTGGGAACTGACTAACTGCCATTACCATCTCCAGTGACACTAACAGATGGGGCAGCAGGCACACGAATGAGCGCTTGCCCCCTTCCCGGAAATATATACGTGACCCAGTGCACAGCGGCAGCCCTGTAGCAGTAAAGCTACAGGAAGCCGTCCGCAAGCAGTTAATTGGCTTCACACTTGAGTAAATGTGTCCTTTGAAGTGTACAGTATGGTTAGCCTATGTGCTGCTAGGTACTAACATATTTATAATGTATTTTATTATAGCACCTTCTAAATATTTCTAAGCTAGAAGTTGTCAGAGAATATTTTTTATAAAAAATACTATGATTACTTTAAAGCAGATGTAAACCTGCACTGAATGACATTTAGTTGGTTTAAGCACTTTGTATAATAAACAATTGTAAATCTTGATAAATAAAATGTTTTAACTTTTTTTTATCCTTTGTTACATCTCAGTACTGCTTATCCTCCTTGAAAAAAGTTCCTGTCTATGTATACTTTATTATTATTAGCTGCATGGCATTTCTCAGGGCATTTTCTTGATGGTGACCACAGTGGACTATGTCTTTATAAATTGTGTTGAAATGGTCACTTGTAGTCTCCATCAGAAACCCTTGTGACAGAGTGACAATGCAGGAGCACTAATGGTAAACAGGCAGAGTGTTGCCACCCTACAACAGGAAGTACCTAAACAAGGATCTTCATGGCAGGATCATCAAAATTAATTAGAGCTACAGATTTAATATGAATGAAAATGACAATTGAAATTATATTTACATGTTAGATGCTTAAATAAGATTTTAATGATTGGGTTGACATATACTTTAAGATAACTTATGTGCTTTTGTCAAATGCTTTTTTTATTAATCCCCTAATTATTTGTTGCAGCTTGCAGAAGAATATGGCATGGACTTCTTCGAGACAAGTGCCTGCACTAACTATAACATAAAGGAGGTAAGAAAGCTAACCTTCAGCATGATCTTTACACACACTCTCACACACATACTCTTTATACACTTCCCATGAAGTTCCATGAGCTAACTTTACAATAGGTATTCTAGATCTATTTCAGTTCTGGAATGGCCTAAGCTCAACCACCCTATATAAGGTCTATCCAGAAGGTGAGAGACTTATGGGTTTGTCATTTTACACCAAAGAGCAGCCCTCAATCCTGTAGAAATCACCAAAATATAGATAATTTGAGTGTTAGGATTATTAGGAATGGATCACAGTTTAGGATTTCTGTACGACACAATAAAAGAAATATGGTTACATAGAGTCCTATCTTTTAATAGTTCATGCTAATCAAAGTCCTAGTAGGCTGCTGAATTTGTAAAACTTTTCAATATGGCATTAGCACATTCTACATTAGTGGAACACTATTATTCAAATGTTAAACCCTGTCTCTCTCTCTCTCTTCTCACTCTCCTTCCTTCCTCTCTCACTCCCTCTTTCTCCCATCCCTTTCTCTACTCCCTTCTTCACATCCTCCTCCATCTCTCTTTCCCTCCTTCTCTCCCCCCCACTCTCTTCCCCCTTCTCCCTCCCTTTCTGTACCCCCCTTTCCCCCTCCCTCCTATGCCTCCCCCCCACACACACTCTCTTCCTCTCTCCTTTCTTTCCTTCCTTTCCCCTCTCTCTCTCTTCCCCGCTCATTCCCCCTGCCCCATCTCTTCCCTTCCTTTCCCTTTTCTCTCCCTCCCTCTCTCCCTACCTCTTTCTCTCTCCTCCCCTCTTTCTGCCTCTCTACCCTCATCTTGACCTGACTGCTGCATACTATACTCTGTTGTATGTTATATATTCCTGACCCCTGCACTTTACACAATATGATGTACATTACATAGTCCTGACCAAAGTGTTCATTGTCTTCATGGTTTTAATAAAAATCCTTTGTCCTGAGGTTTCTGTGTGTCTGTGAGATTGTCACATGTAGCACACTAATAAGCGGTATTTTGCAGGTACAAAGGCTGTGGTATATGGGTGTAGTGTATAGAGTAAATAGGCACAGGTTCTGTTTAATCTTCCCCCTTTAAGCCAGTCCCGCTGTTAGGCCATGCCCTCTATTCACTGCAGCAAGTGTGTTGTACCGCAGAACTTGTTTTTTTCACTGTATCCCCTGATGAGCCAGGTCTTTCAAGATCCTAGTCATGCTTACATTTGGTAATGTTTCTACTTGTCACATACCTGGTCAAAAGCTGAAGTGATGAGAGGACTCCCCTTGTGGCTGAATGCAGAGCACCCCTGAAAGTGGTGACAGGTAGGGCTGTGCCAAAAGAAGCACGGGTTGCCAACTGTGTATTTGCTTGTTGATCTGAGATGGTGATGCACTTGATGGAGGCAGGATCGGACAAGAATGTCAGCAGGCCAAACAACACTCTGGATGTGCAGACGGACCTTAACAGCAAAGCTGAGCCAGAAGCGTAGTCGGAAGTCAGGGCCAGGATCATACATCGTAGATCAGTCAGGAACAAAAGCAGAAGCAAGGTCAAGATCAAGCCAGGGTCATGCACAGGGAAGCAGGCAGTAGTAGAGTTTGTGAGAGCAAGCTGAGGTCGGAGAGAAGAGAGAAGCCAGAACAGGTCAAGAGGTAAGCTGGGTTGTTAACAGGTAATCCAAAAAGACTGAATCACAATCACTCTTTAGGTGACACTAAACTTATATTTTTTATAAAATAGCATAAATGTAACATGTCTAACTATAAGTAGAATGTACCTTCTATCCTATCCTTTGTTTCATCTTTCAAATGCAAGCTTTTTTCTGCTATTCTCAGACTTCCTGTTCTAGGGTGGCTACATTCAACTCATAAATCAGCAAAGTCAGCAATAAAAAGAACATATAAGCATTAACTGCAATGTAAATAATAGTATTATAACTAGTTTAGAGTTCACTCCAGAAGAATGGCTAGGATAGGATATAGTGCAGTGTCTACTGAAAGGTACCTCTCAGCATAAGCATTAGGTGAAGGTCTTTGTGTAGCAGCTGTAAAGGGGCAGTCTTTAGTCCTAACTCTTCAACCAGCTAGCGTTTGGGCCCAGTTGCACTGTTGGTGTACATGAGTACAGTCACACCTGCAGACAGCAAATAAAGCTACTAGATGGATGTATAGTCAGTTCCTAAAGGGCTCAGTCTCTTTCTCAGTCTCGAGGAGAATGGCTGGGATATAGTGCAGTGTCCCCTGAGAGGTACATCTTAGCATAAGCAAGAGGTAAAGGTCTTTGTGTAGCTGCTGTAAAGGGGCAGTCTTAATCCTAACTTTTCATCCAGCTAGCGTTTGGGCCCAGTTGTACCGTTGCTGCACATGAGTACAGTCACATCTGCAAACAGAAAATAAGGCTACTAGATGGCTCCTAAAGGGCTCAGTCTCATTCTCTAGCAGCAGATAGTAAATCCCCACAGCAACAGCTCACCTGTTCCAGTCCACACTCTTCTCTGCCCCCAGGTGATTCTGTCTGTCAGAATCCCCAAATTCAGCACTCAGGTCCCACTCAGGCTGCCAATACGCAGCAGTGGTGGTGCATACTGGACAACAATGTGCACTCTCTGGTCTCCCTCAGCAAAAGTAAGATGTGTCCTGTATTGCCCGGCAAAATGCAGCTCTTTTTTCTCCTCCTGACAATCTCTTCTCTGGGGAATGTAGTTCAAAGGCTTTTGATCACCACAGTATAGTCTCTCCTCCAGTCTACAGTTCCCGCAGTGCTGCTTGACTCAGTCTATTGAACTCTTCCTGCACAGCAGCTCCCTCCTTTTGCTGAGATAGCTGTTAACCAGTTCAGCACCACAGGGCAGCAGCTACAAAGGGCAACTTCAACCAGTGTTTCTTTCACTTTCCATTCTTAGCCAATTACCTGGCTATCAGGGGCGGACTGACAACTCATGGGGCCCCCGGGCAATAGGGGATCATGGGGCCCCTGTGTCCTTGCCCAAACTCAAAAAAGCCTATGAAAAGGTACCAGGGGCATCTCATGGGGCCCCCTACTGACCCCGGGCCCTCGGGCAGTGCCCGAGTTTCCAAATGGTCAGTCTGCCCCTGCTGGCTACATGTGTTTTTATCAGCCTTGCTAATTATGTAACCATACTCAGTGTTTCTACAGTACAGTATATTGTGCTCATAAGTATTATGACTAGGACAGTGTTTCTCAACTTTTTTTAGGCAAGGCAACCTACAACATTTTAGACAGTCCCGAGGCACCCTTTAAAATTGTGGACAGTCTTGAGGCACCCCATTCTAAAATGCAAAAAACTATTCTAATAGTTTTATATAATGCAGCAACATCCACACACATAGGACACCCAACGTTAGAGGTGATTTATTCTTCAAAAGCAAATACACTTTTGCACACTGGTACTGACTAGTATTCCAATGTTTCTCTTTTCAATCAGTTTTTTTTCCATCACTAAGATGATGTGACCCGAGCACTGATGGGGAGAGGCAGGGGAGGGTCAAACAAGGATGCTGTGCAGGCAACCGACAGAGGCTAGAACAGGGGTGGGCAAACATTTTGACTTGAGGGCCGCAATGGGTTCATATATTGGACCCGGGGGCCGGACCAAGAGTAGATGAATGATGTGTATGTGTCATCCATAGTAAGTATAGTAATATTCCCCCATAGTAAGCATAGTAATTAATCCCCCATATAGTAATTCATCCCCCATAGTAATTCATCCCCCATAGTAATTCATCCCCCATATAGTAATTCATCCCCCATAGTAATTCATCCCCCATAGTAATTCATCCCCCATAGTAATTAATCCCCCATATAGTAATTCATCCCCAATAGTAATTCATCCCCCATAGTAATTCATCCCCCATAGTAATTCATCCCCCATATAGTAATTCATCCCCCATAGTAATTCATCCCCCATAGTAATTCATCCCCCATATAGTAATTCATCCCCCATAGTAATTCATCCCCCATTGTAATTCATCCCCCATATAGTAATTCATCCCCCCTATAGTAATTCATTCCCTATATTAATTCATTCCCCATATTAATTCATCCCCCATATAGTATTTCATCCCCCATAGTACTATTCCCCCCCAAGTAGTAAGCCAAGTCCCCCCTGTGTCAATTCACTTACCTTTGCTCCGCGCGTTCCTCTCGCCGTGCTCCCGCGCCGTTCCGGTCTTCAGGGCGGACTGTGAGAGGAGCCTAGCTCCCCTCACGTTCGTCACGCTGCCCCGCCTACACACATCCTGACAGCCATCCTGACAGTATCACGCTCCACGGGCCGGATTAAAAGGTCCGCCGGGCCGTATACGGCCCGCGGGCCGTAGTTTGCCCATTGCTGGGCTAGAAGGTTGTAATGGTGTAAAGGTTTATTCAGAAAAGCATTCCATAGAGTGATTCTGCTAAACATATTGACATAGAGAAACCAATATGGTGTCAGTTTACAATAGTGCAATGAAAACTCTATAAATTGCAAAAATCCATAGCAAGCTGGGATACATCTCTAATTGCTTTAACTATTGTAAATTGACTTTGCTTATTGATTAAATCTACGTGTGACATATTTTATTATACCTCTGATGTTACATGTTATTTCAACAAGTAAAACAAAATACCTGGTTAAACTATTGGCTAGTAATATTATTTTTTTTTCCTCTAGTCATTCACCCGACTGACAGAACTGGTTCTTATGGCTCATAAGAAGGAATTAGATGGTTTACGCTTAACTTCCAACAATGAACTGAATCTAGCTGACCTGGAAGACGATGGGCATAAAGCAGATGCATTGGCAAACTCAAAGTCTTGTTGGTGCTAGACAACTCCCAATGGAAGAGAGAAAGAAAGAGAGAGGTGTAAAGATCAAGTTCAAAGATCAAAGTTTTCTTTATGGATCTATTGTGAAAGCTCTGCATCAAAAATATAATCCTTAAGGCCCCAATTACTAGACATGACTAGAGCTTTGCAAATTTGTTCAGTTAAGGAATTGTATATTTTTCTTAGAGAAAGTAAGAAACGTCTACCACTCCAGGTAAATGGATGGCTGCCAACATCTCAGTATGGGTACTGCTGATCCTCAGGTGTTTTCATGGACATTGTCCATGAAGCCCTCTAGAAGGACATTGGAAAGCAAAGAAAACTGATGAATATTTTCAGCTATTTTTTTTTTCCTTTGTTCTATTTCATGTAAACAAAAGGCAGAAACTTATATAATTTAGTCAAGAGACCTTCAAATATAACTATGTGCCATTGGTCTGTATGTGAAACGCATTGCAAGGGAAATATGCTAAATAGCACTAGGGTCTGTGAGGAATAGTGGCCCACTAAAGTGGCATGTACCAATAGTTGCTCACTGTAGGTAGTACAAGTCTAAATATTTAATTGTATAACAGCTTGTAGAAACTGTGCTTACTACAGTGGCAAGTAGTAACATACTGATTCAGTTATAAAGCATTGTTTTCTGTGGGCTCCTGAAGTTATTTAAAACAAATGGCATCCTAATTTATGTTGGTTGTATTGGTAGGTGACATGGTTTATAATTTATAATAATGTTAATATGGGTGGTATGTATATATTGCAAGAGATGTCTTAGTGGTATGGAATCAAACATTTGGGAAGCACTGACCCCGAGGTCTTACAACTTGACCTGTGCACTAAGCTAACAGTCAATCTTTCTTTAATAGGATTTTGACAGTGCTCAACATCAGATGGCTTTAGCTGTAGACATCTAATACACCTGCAGCGTGCAATCTCCAAAGCATAGTAGATTCTAGAGCCCAACTAAAGAACGGATGTAGATACCCAATGAATGATCATTGGTTGCAAGTCTAATAGTTGCGCCAAGCAATGATTGAATGGATATTCCATACAAAAAATTAATATATGTATTTCCTACTGGCATGTAGTTTCATTATACTTCCAGGCCAAGTGAATCAGTTAGCTGAACTGGTGCTTCCCTGTCCTGGATTTAAACAAGCAGGTTCTCTGGCAGATACTGAGTTACTGTGAGTTAAAATTTACTTTTTATGCTTTGTATTTATGTTGTCAATAGTCGGGCTAGTGGCAATGATGAAGACTTGATACAACTTTGGACCAATGATACTCATAAAAGCAAACCTTTTTGCTATCTCCACAGCAGGAAACATTTGTTTTGCCTTATTAATTTATCCTCTGAAAATCTGCATCATTTCCGCTAAGAAAGAAAAAACATTCACACCTTCCAAACCTTTCATTTATAGATAGAGAGAAAACAGGTGGCGCACACACCTAGTGCATTATCCCAGGTTTATTGTAGGAGTGAAAGAATAATGAAAACATATTCACAGACGAAGCATGTATCTAAAAAGCGTAGAAAAATGACAATGGCCACAACGGCAGGCAAGGTGTTCTCACTGTCAGTGCAGTCAAATGCCTGACGCGTTTCGGGGACAGATCCCTTTCCTCAGAGCTGATGACCAACCTGTATGGAGGTCAAGTAGTAAATAACCAGGGCTAGATGCCTTGGGAGCAAAGCTCCACCTCCTCTACTTGTTACTCATTTATAGAGTTACATTTCAAATACATGTTTATGGTTCAAGTCAAGACTAGGCTGTTAGACCGAGAGCATTGACATTTCTCAGTCTGCCATGCCTGGGAAGATTAGTGGTCTAGTGTGAACTCTTAAGTACTGAACTCCACTTTTCCAGATTACATTGCGACTGTGATATGTGGCCACAAAGTTCCACAATGAGTTGCCAGAAGAGGTATTAAAACAAAACAGCTGCATATTTAGGTTTGTTCTGTTCATGTACTAAAATGTTAACTAACATTATGTATGTACTGGGGCTATTCTTCATTCCCAATCCCGTTTTATATATATAGGGTTCACATTGTTAAAAAAAAGAAAAAACCTGTTTAAGTGTTGACAAAGAGCTAAATACAAGTTAAAATTGGCAAAGAGCAAACAAATGTAAGTGAATTGCTTTGCCTATCAAGTATTTGTGATTCTGTTTAGCTACTTTCTAATCCCTACAGCCCTGCCAGACACTATACAAGGCCATGACCATATACTTTTTTTTGATTCAAGGGAAATCCCTTCTTAGTCAAGTGTCACTGGAACAAACATCACTAGTGGAATATTTCCCCCAAAACTAGACAGGGGTACTAATTCTTAATTACTCTACAAAAAAAACACTATAGATTCAATTTACAGTAATTTATCAACAACTTAAACAATTAAGTGCATTTTTTTCATTGTGTAAGTGCTTCTGTTTGTGTGCCCTTAGCTAGGTTTTATATGCCTTTAAAATTGCATATGGTGGAAATAGTAAAAAGTATTTCAGTCAAGAATACGTTAATATATGTTTTATGCCTTTTTTTTGATGCCACCTATTCATTGTTATGTTCATTCAACTTTATCACATTTTAATGAATTTTGCAGAGTTATAAAATGCAGACAAAATACACAAACAATATAAAATGTATTGCTTTCTATAGGACTCACCACACTTCCATGCTGTAAGCTGCGTGGCCTATTTCACTGTATGGGGGTCCTTCAAAAAAAGCAGCTCACAGCAAGGTAATGTGAAATAGCTCTAAGGATATGACTTTTCAAAATGCATTCCTTTAATATTAGATCAAAAAAGAAAATCAGTGCCACATTTGTACCTGAAAATGGCAGTATGCATGAATGTGCAAAATTTTCCATCTTCTAATTAAAGAAGTCATTTCTGCTGAGGTTCCTTGCAGAGTTTCAGTGATCAAACACTTGTCTAATTTTAAAGGATAAATTAATTTTTATCCTCACTTATGTAATCACATAGGCTTTGACACAGTTCATGTCAGGCAATTGGTTGCACAGAGCACTGTCACTTGGGAGGGGGGGTGGGTTGGGGGTGGTTGTGCATGTGTGCTTATAATCCACACACCTAACAAGCGGTATTTACACTGATGGCTCCAGCAGGGCTTTGAAGAGGCATGTTGTAACAATGCAGGTGATGTCTGGCACCTATTTAGTCCCTACTATATACCCTTGATTTTAGTTTCTTAATTTTAGGTCTTCACAGAGGACAAGTGACATAGGTGAAAATAATTCAAGAATAAATGAATAC